AAATAAACAAATAATCTACTTAATTACACATCCGAAAAGTCATCAAGTAATCACAGTACTTATAATTTAAACAGTGCTTCTTTTAATTATATACTTTATGGTTTAACAGTCAAATCTGCAGTTATTACTGTATTAAAAAGGATGTATTTTTTTTCAATGTGTTTCTAAAAATTGTGAACTAAAACTTAATTTGCGAGAAGGGAGCAGTTACAATTTCATTACACGGCTATTAGTATTCAGTACCGGCAGGAGATCCGTTTCATTTCCTTCTTGCTTGTAAATATTTAGCTGTATAAATTAAGGCTTTTTCCCTCAAATGTACCCTCAGTTCAATACCTCTATTGGAATATATTTCAAATAATAATTATGATGGACTTTGAAGAACACTGTCAAACCCCCGTGACATTGTTAAAAGAGCCCTATTATACTTTTTGGAGTTTTCCCTTTCCTGTAGTGTGTTCTCTATCTTTTTGTGAATGTAAGTAGTCTGCAAAGGTTAAAATCCTAAAGTTCCCCCCCCCCCTGTCTGAAACACCTCTATTTGACTCCTTTGTTTACTTCTGTAACATACACTCATGCTCCTATTGGCTAGCGCTCCAACACATTGTACGATATTTCTTAGTGGTGGTCCAATCACAACAGAGCCGGCCAGCTAACCAATCAGAGCAGACTGGGCTCTGGTTTCAGACAGAGGGTAAAAAGAGGTGCTGCAGGACAGGCAGTATGAGAAAGATAAAGAGCTTTTTGAACATTAAAGCATAAAACATTTGCATAATATGGTTCATTAATTATACACAGGCCATATGGGTATAAAAAAACGGGAAACTCAATCATGCACCCATTCCCACAGCCTAAGTCATTTAGTTTAATTAATCAATCCCTTAGCCTTATTCAACATTTTGAGTGTTTTTTTTCTTTTTTATTCTTGTCTTCAAACTGACCTCATCAAAGTCTCCTCGGACTATGTGGACGTCTCCAGCGAGGGTCTTCAGGTAGTCATAGCTCTCCTTGGTGCAGAGGTTTCCCGTGCAGAGGATGTGCTGGATCTTCCCCGGGACCAACAGCTTCTTGAACTTGGCTGGCAGGGTGTTGCACCGATGGGGGATGTGCAGGTCACCTAACACCAGGACCAACTGACAGCATCGAACACACACACAAACACACACACACACACACGCAAACTAACAGGTTAGTCCCCCACCAATGAGTTCAGGCTATGGGATGTAGCCTCTGAACATTGGAAAAACAATGTGGGCCTAGGAAAGAGCCCTGTGGGATGCCGCTAGTCGGGATCCACCACAACCAATTTACTTCTAAGTTAGTAATTATAATATGTATCATATATTGTTAACAAAACACAAATTAAACAACAACCCATCTCAAGGATAATTCAGTAAAAATAAACAGGCTTAATTCATGAAGCTCAAACTTGTAAATAAGCAACGTTTGTGTCAGAAATAAGCTTGGTTTATTAAGTGTCTGAATTCCAACTGTGTTGTGAATGTAATTTGTTACAGAATCTGAAAAACCACAGCACATATGGATTGGAAAAATATTGTTTGAATCAGTACAGATGGATTTCAGACAGTCAATAACAGATGTAGGGCATGAGAGCGATAAAATGATGTTTTCACATATAGAGTCAATAAGGAATAAAAAAATCAGCAAATTTTAATGTTTTTACAAAAAAAATAAAACGTTTTCAGCAACATGACCTTAAAGCCTGTCTGAGTCATAATATATATTTTTCAAGTGCTTTATTTAAGGACAACAGTTAAACTAATAAAACATAACTCTGGATAAAAGCCGTTTTATTTTCTTTGCAGTTTTTTTACATATATCTCTTAAATAATCTATTAGGTTTGCTTTAATCAACAACATTACGGTTTGATTCATTTGATAGCTCAATACAATTTTGTTGTATTGGCCATTCAGATATTTCAGCAACTAAGTATAACATTTATTGAAGATATATTTCTAAAGGTTAATAGAAAAGTGATATTCTCCCTAAAATGTAATTTACTTATCTATCCCATACTGTATTGTTAGGGGGTCAGGAAGTAAACAGCACCTTGTGAGATTTAGATGTATATTTTTACACGGGTTTTAGACATCTAACTTAGGAGCTTAAGGTTTCCTACTTTGAATTATTTTTGTTTTAATGATTTGTAAGTTATTACTTGTTTAGGAGAACAGCTGAGAGCAGGTGTAATTAAAGAATCATATCCCAGGAGTGCAGTTGCTGAATTAGCAGCAGAAACCACAGACCTCCCCAGCTGTGCAAAACCCAACCCTTATGTTAGCGTGGCAGGCAGAAAAGCGAGCAGAAAGACAGGGACCCAACACAAAGCGAGGGCACTTACCCGGTGACCAGACTGGTGGATTGAAGACAGGCAATGAGGGGTGGGAGTAGGACAGTGGGTGAGATAGGAAAGAAGGCAGGATGTGCACGGAGAGAACGACATGAGGCATGATCAACGGTAGCAACATAAGAAAAACAAAAGACAAGAAAGATTTGGGACAAGAAAACTGAAATTAGAAATTAAAAAGTGAATAGAATAAGATATTAATCATAAAAAAACAAACCAGAAAAGTGAATGGTGGAATCGATTGTTAATGGTTGATGGTTAGTGATCATGACAAAGAAAATATATAGATTTCAGCCTACGGAATGTGAGCAAAATCATATGGGGAAGCAAATCAAAGTGCTGACTAGAATTTAGTTATAATCAAAAGTGATCAGTGGTGGAATGTAACTACACACATTTACTGAGGTTCTGTTAAAAAGTACACATTTGAGTTACTTGTGCTTCGGTATTTTAATTGTAAGGCAACTTGTATTCCGCTACATATCAGAGGTAAAGCTTTAGTTACAGTTGTGACTCATGGGAAATCACATATTTTCAGATGTTATAATTGTGTATGTTTGTGATAAACTGAAGGATTAATTGCTGGAAAAAGATCCTACTTCTTCACAAAGATGAACATGGGGTTGATTCTGAGCAACTCATTAAAGTTAACTTTTAGAGATACATTGCAAACATGATAATTGTATAGAATATGATGCATTGCTGTACTTACTGCTGTAATCTACCTAAATATAAATAGAGGATGTCAAATAAGCACAAAACTAAACATTTACAGCAGTAAAATGCAACATAAAACTATTAACCAAAATCATCAAATATAATAACACTGGCAGGAAACATTTTAATACACAATGACTAGTTTTACTTTCATACATTTGGCTTATTGTATAATTGTATTTCACTATGATTTTGAATATATTACTTTTACTTGTGGTTGAGTACTTTCACAGTGTGGTATTATTACTGCTTTTCACTTAAGAAAAGGATCTGAATACTTGTTCCACCACTTATTATAATAAACCTGCTACATAGATTCAAACTGCATCTGAATGAATGAATAATTTAACACTAGTCCTGGTGCAAAAAACAGCTTCGTCTAACTCGTTAAGCCTACCTTTAGAAATAAGTCACAGTTTAAATGCAGGTTAAACGCTGAGTGATCACATCATTATTGCTTCACAGGAAAAGTGCTCCATAAGATAAAGTGGCTGTTAGCCGGTTAGCCCAGCTAGCATTCAGGAAAAAGTAAAAATTGCCCTGATATCAATTATACAGATAGTAAGAATGGATAATGAACACACATAAAAAACTTAAAAGACCCCCATGCAACTGAAGAGAGTGACTTTTAGGGTGCTTGCAGCTTTTTTGCAGTGAATTTTTTGGGGGGACTAAAGTGCTCAGCTGTCATGTGATCGTAGATCCATCTCGCAATGAAGCTTCCCTTAAATATAACCTTAATTTCAGACTGTTCGGGCACGCCAACAACACGCATGTCGACGATGTGCCAAAGAGGTAATCATGATCGAGACGGTGGCTTAAAATGTGGTAAAATGTGGCATTTTCGCCATTTCATACTCACCATCTTCTATTTTGCTGTTTCTGCTCAGTCAAGTTGAGGAAGCGCCTACGCACGTACAGCGTCACGCCGTCAGCCAATCAAAGGAGAGAATGCGTGACGCTTCAAATGAGATAAAACACTTCCTTTTGTCCTTTCAAAATAAAACGAGAAGAAGTATTACTTAATGTTTTATGTTATGATAACTTCATTGTATACGTGCTCAGTAAGTACATAAAGAAAGAAACTAAATAAATAATTAATGTGATCAGAATTGATACAGTTACAATGAACTTCAGGTGTAAAATGTGTTTAATGTCAAAGGTAATTAAAATACCACTCCATCAGGGTATATATTATGTTTTTGGATTAATATTACTGATGCATTAATGCGTCTGTTGCATTCTACTTCTGTAGGTGTTCATGGTTATGCTGTTTTATGGATCTACGATCACATGACAATATATTGCAGAAAGCTACTTGATAATGAATAATGATCAGAAGAAAAAAGACAATCAATTGAGAAAAGTATAACAAGAGGTGGAAGAAGTATCTTAAGTAAATCTTAAGTAAAAGTAGAAATACCACAGTGTATGGGTACTCTGTTACAAGTAAAAGTCCTGCATTGCAAATATTACTCAAGTAAAAATAGAAAAGTATTGCCATCAAAATATAGTTAAGCAACAAAAGTAAAAGTACTCAATCTGCAGATTGGCCCATTTCAGAATAATATATATTTTAGATTTTGATTTAGATTATTGATGAATTCATGTTGGTGAAGGTAATCAAAGCTAGTTAAGGTGGAGCTTTTAATTCCTTTGTATGCTCCAGGGTAGATGGTGTATTTACTCCAAGTGTAACTTATTTAAGTTTTGTATATTTCACATCATCATTCAAAATCTGCATAGTAATGGTATTTAATTAATGTAGTGAAGTAAAAGTACACGGTTTATCTCTGAAGTGTAGTGGTAGAAATACAAAGCATACTCAAGTAAAGGGCAATAACCTCAACATATTACTTAATTAGAGTGCGGACTTTTATTGTTAAATGAATGACATGACCGGAAGTTGCTAACGCCGTGCGTCATGCGCTGCGTCCGTTGGCATGACGTCCGTCAGTTAAAGCGACGTGAGTTAGCAGTGTTTCGCGGAACATTCGAGAGGTAAGATGCGAGAATATTTTATCCCAATTTCCCCCGGCCTTGTCCTGACGTGGATTTTGCATCGGCGGTTGTTAATCAACAAAGAGAGGAAATCAAGTTGGATGAACCAGCGTGAAATACATCTCTTACATTGTCTTTATTATCTTTAAACCAAACTACGTCTTCGTCTAATAACTGCGTTGGCTGCGGAACGTCAGTTAGCTTAGCATATGGGCTTTGGCTATTTCCTTGAGTGCTGATACTGTGAACGTCTGTTTATGTAACTGCTTTAGAGACGCATAATGGGCTTGTATCACCTTGAGAGTAATTATATTTTACATGTATTGTAATTTGTGGGATTGTTGGCGACGACACACCACGTGTAATATTAATGATAGCCAGTTAGCTAGATGTCGTAACACGCTCACTCATCATTACGTTACTACTAATGGGATATCATCAACATTACTGTAGTGTAAGGGAAAACATGTAAAACCATTTTATAGCATACTAAGACATTTGTTGTGTGACATAAGAACTTCAAGAATTATAAATCGATGGGATTATCACGAACCAACCAAAAACAAGTAATTAGTTTATCCTTTAAAATACGCAGAACATTTAAAAAAAAAACTCAAAACAATTGTTTGCCTTTGTTTATTCTAAGGGTGTTTGAAATTGGAGAGTTGAAATTCAGGCGAATAGTTATTTTAAAACCTAGGGTAAATAAGGACACGTATAAAGAACAGATGTATATCTGTCAAAGGGTAAACCTAGCGGTGAAAGGGTAGTCTATTAAATAGATACTTTATTCATCCAACATTTAGAAATTATTCTGTTACAGCAGCAATGTCATCAGGCTTTCCATATTTAAAAGTTGGAATAAAGTACAAACATCTTAATAAAACGACAACAAATATATACATATCTGCCGTAGAAACGAAATGTGAATAAATCATGTTATGTAAAGATGGTCGTTATAATAAGCTTCAGCCTACACCCATTTACATATATATTTATATATATTTGTTTCCATTTAATCTACCGCCTCACCTTATTTATGTTATGATACTTTTCTCTTTATTAAGGACACAAATAAGTAACTACTAGCTACTCCTTGACATAGCGGAACATTTGACAATCGTGCCGACTTTTTTGTAAGGAGCTACTTTGTAGATAAAAGTCCATTCAGGCAATAAACGCTGTGAAAGCAGACCTTTTCAGAAAATGTTATTTAGAGGGATTTTATAACAGATACGTGCGTGACGATGGAGCTTCCCACCCAATGAACTACAGCACCTGATGCTGCTAACGTTAGCGTTTTTTATTCGTCCGCAGTTTGTGTGGATAACAATACGTCTCTCCTCCCCTAAAGGTCCCCCAAAACCCCCGAGGACTTTCCAGTTAACCTCCGAGCCTGGCAACTGCACTGTTTGGACGCTTTAGGGTGTTTAACTGTGCATCTTTGGGAACTGAAAAAACACTAAGAACCCTGCTGCAATCGATACAACACCAGCACCAGCCATCGACCAGCGTTCACTGCGGCTCTTGGACGATCAGCGTTGTGTTTATGTCTTTGTTTTGCGAAAACGGTAAGTCAGTTTGTGGGTTATTTTAAATGTTTGACTACATGTATGGATGCGTGGGTGTATTTCCAGCGGTATTATTGTGCAATATGACGTGTTTTCTGTATCAAAATGGCGTCTCCCAGTCCCACTCGTGTGTGCAGTGGCTGCATGACGCACTCTGCACCAAGTAGCCAAGCTAAAGCTAAGTTAGCCTCCTTCTGAAATGGCACTCGACCTCTGCCTCTTTCTGAAACTCCTCAGCCTAGGGCATCGCTGTCTCATTGTCACACCGTTTGTGAGTCATTTGAGATCGCAGTTCGGAAACTACAGACTCGCTGGCGTTAAAGCCGTCAGTAAGGGGAGAGTAGTGAGGCAGCTGCTCGGCCTCCTCCTGTTTGTGACCTAATAACAAGAGAAGGCCTTATGTGACTAAAACCAGATGCCCTCATGTAAGACAAAAGGCTTTTACAAAACAAAGTTTCTACATGTATGGTAACAACATGTTCTAGTTTAGTGACAGGATTTTATTTGTTCCTTTGGATTAATCTGTCAAGCTTGCTCATCGTTGGATCACATGGTCATTTGCTGCTTGGATTTGAGTTTGTCAGCAGATTTTTCTGATTTTTAAATGATTATAATCTCTTTTAATTAATATCTAAATACTCAAACTTGCTTAACAGGAGACATATTTATATAAGGGAGTCCATAATGTCCCCCATATGTCTCTAGATTCTCTATTAATTGAACTGTCATAACTCAGTCTGATCTGGCTTATTAGTGGCATTCAGGTAAACTATTAAATCGTTTTTCACACTGCAATTACTGTCAAATCCTCTACTCTTAAGGCCATTTTTCCTGTTGCCTTCAATTTTCCAGACCTTTAGTTGACACCTTTTTTAAATTGCAAATTTTCTAAAACCTCAAATATTTATGTTACCATTATTATATTTTACTATTATCTCCTTTTAACTACCTGAATACTGGCACAGATGTATAAACAACCCATCTGCATATGGTACTAGGAAATGCCATTTTGCACTTAAAAAACAGGCTAAACATTTAGATAAGAATAACATACCTTTTTAAAAAGTGCTTTAAACAATTGAACCAGCAAGAACAAAAATGCAATGAATACTATTAGATACATTTAATACAATGCAGTTTTGTTTTAATCTCCATTCAGTTAAGTGCTAGAAGAAACATACGCCACATTTGTTGTAGAATTATTTTTTTTAATCAAATATTAATAGATTTTTTTTGTCTCCTCTTTCAGAGCTGTTGCGCAGCCGTTGGAACCTGTGTGGTGGAAATCTAGCCTTCAAGCAAGGAGCTTGCGGCCATAGCGGCACAGCGTTTTTCATGTCAAAGACAGAGCGCGCTTGCAGTCGTTTATGTCATCCCCTCTTTTCCAGACAGAAGATCCCAAAAAATCCCCAACCAAGATCCTTTTATCGTACTGATAGTGCTAACATCCAGCCAAAATGTCTGTCAACGTCAACCGCAGCGTGTTGGACCAGTTCTATCGCTACAAGATGCCCCGTCTGATTGCCAAGGTAACGGCTCACTGGCTGGATTAAAAAAATGTACATGTATAAATGTGACTACAGTAGTTGAGAGAATGTCAGATTCATAATTTTAATAAAATGTAATTTGCCTGAGATTCTGTTTATGAAATTGTTGTAGAATGAACACTGTTATTCTCTGACCTTTTGGTTGATGATCATCTGTTTTCTGTATTCATCTCATCCAGGTGGAAGGAAAAGGGAATGGAATCAAGACGGTCATTGTCAACATGGTAGATGTTGCAAAGGCATTGAACAGGCCTCCAACATGTAAGTAACACATATTTTCAAAGCTTTGTTTAAATGTGTTCCTCTTAACACATATTAAATTAAATTAACTTTTCAACCAAATCTGTAAAAATAGATTTGGTCTAATAGATGGTACGAACAAAAGTGTATTTTCAAAACAAGGTTCCAAAACAAATAATGATACAACATTATTACAGTACAGTTGGCTGAATCTTTTTAATATCAGTGGTTTCATGGGATCCGTGTGAAGCACGTGGAAAGCTAATAAAAATACTCATCCTGGAAAATGTGTTAAATCTTTGACTCGCGTTTTAGAACGAGCTGAGCAGGTGGACTGTCTGTTATAGTAATTCAATGTTTGTATTGTGACCTTTTGATGTCTGATCTCCTCTGCAGACCCAACCAAGTTTTTTGGTTGTGAACTCGGTGCTCAGACCCAGTTTGATAGCAAAAACGACCGTTACATCGTCAACGGATCCCACGAGGCGAACAAGTTGCAGGACATGCTTGATGGGTTTGTCAGAAAATTTGTTCTGTGTCCCGAGTGCGACAACCCTGAAACTGAACTGGTAAATATTTCACAGCATCTGTACACGTAGACCAAGCACCATTAAGACTTGATTGCGTTCCTTTTCTGGATCTAATAAGATTGAATGTTTCTTATAGCATGTCAATCCCAAGAAACAAACCATTGGCAATTCCTGTAAAGCCTGTGGATACCGCGGCATGCTTGACACCAGACACAAACTCTGCACGTTCATCCTCAAAAACCCACCAGGTGAGATTTCTTGGAGTTGCCAGCAGAGTTGATGGTCCATTTCCCTATTGTGTTGAACAACGCTCAACCCTTAGATGCACGAGTGACTGGACCCTACACTCTTCCATAAGTGGGTCAAAAAGGACCCGTATGTGTTTTTATGCCATTTTGGTCATTTCGGTTAAGAGAAATAACTTTATAAATTTTTTTACATTTAGAAAAAAAAGTTTCGAGCATATTGATGCAAAGATCTCTGCTATTCTGAGACCATCACAGTATTCCAGTCCCTTTTCAAAACTCATCTCTTCTTGTCTACTCATAGCCCACCCCCATCAATCCATGCCGGTTGATCAAGTTTGATAGTCCTATACCCCCCACCCTAACCTCCCCTTATATTGTAAAGCGATTTTGAGTCCTTGAAAAGCCCTATAAAATATAATGTATTATTATACTGACAAGTATCAGATTTTGCTGTGTAAAATAATCTTCCTGAGACGTGTCACTTGTGATGTAGTCTGTGTGGTCTACAGTGAATGTATTCCTGACAGCAACAGGATATAAGAATCAAAGGTTCCCATAGGATCCCATAGAAAATGCATGCGGGTAATTTTTGACCAACTTATGGAAGCTTGGGGTAGTAATACAAAAACTACAATTTCTTAAAATATATAACATTTGAATGGCATGATATCCAAAACATGTTTTTTTGAGGAATAGCTGGAATATGAAATGATAAAAATGTAATTACAAACATACTTCAAGAAAACCACCTCACTGGGTCAAAAAAGACCCACTTATGCATCTAATGTTTAAAGAAATGCGATAATAACCGTGTTGATTCTCCAATTACAGATCCTACTGAAGGTGGATCTGCACCTGTAAAAAAAGAAAAGGAGAAAAAGAACCGCAAGAAGGACAAGGAGAACGGCTCCGGCAGCGGAGAGGGTGGCAGCAGCGAAAACTTTGATGCTCCTCAAGTTGTGGTGGGTTTTAGTCCAGAAACAAATCCAGAAACTACAGGAGTTTAGGAGTTATTTCTTATTGATTAGGAATATCTGCAGAGGCCTCAAAGAGCAACACTGACAACTCTGTCAAAAAAACAAAACATACAAGTATTTGTTTTTTGTATGCTTATAGTAATTAAAATATATGAACAAAAAAGTATGGAAAAGTGATACAATGGTGAATGCAATTTAGAGATAATCTCGCTAAAGAAAATATATTGCATCATGCTTTTGTTTGCCAGAAAGGCCTTTTTAAAAAATAAAAAAAAAAAACACCAGAAGAATCCTATTGGATTTTAGTCGAGGGCAACAGGCCTTTGCTAAATCCCATTAGGCCAACACAAATGCATCATTCCTCCAGCGCTCTATGCGGTCTGTGAAGAATTAGACTGAATTAATTGCTGGATCAATCGGCACAACTTTATTCAAGATTTTTATTTTCACTCTGGCATTTTCTGGGTCCAAAGAAAAAATGTATAGCTGAGGTAACAAAAAAATGTGGACATCTTTCACATTTGCATACAGTGTTTGTACCGAGACATTTCTAGATGTGGTAGTTGGACATTTTGATCAACTCCCACAAACCACCAGTCCGAAATAGTGGCATTATTTGCGGACTGTTAAACGGTGTGTCGTTGCTGAGTTCAACGTCCCTGTGAGCAGCTGACTGAACTCAATGTAAAAACAAATATCAGCAGTCAAAACTCACTAGCTATCACACAGTGCAGTGTTACTGGGATTATCCTTAAAGTCGGTGTGGGGGGTATATTCAAATTATCACTTTTCTGAATTTAAATGTCTAAAATCAACTAGATGTGTTGTATATTTTTGATGAGATGTTTTTAAATGTTAACTAAAGGTGAACATGCTTTTTTTATTCTCAGTTTGCAATCCTTATTTAAAGGTTAAAGGCAGATAAACAATATTGTGGCATTTGTAAACAATTTAATATATACGTGAATGCTGAAGACGCACCACTGTTGACATCAAGGGCTCGGCGCCAGGTGAATGAATATGCCCAGTGTAATCGTTCAGGATTGTTTTACTGTATGAAAGGAAATCCTTTTGTCCTCTTGACCTCCACGCTGCAGGACAGAGACGACGATGATGAAGACTGGGCGGAGGAGACGACTGAGGAAGCACAGAGGAGGCGAATGGAGGAGATCAGCAACCACGCCAAGAACCTGACGCTCAGCGAGGACCTGGAGAAACCCCTGGAGGAGAGGGTCAACCTGTTCTACAACTTTGTGAAAGTAAGGGTCCCATTCTTGATTAGACTGTTCACAATATCTTTTACTTCCTCTTAAAATCTACTTATTATTCAACAATAATGACAGAAAAAATTGCTTGAGAATTTAAAAGTATAGACATGTGACCTAAGTTTTTCATTGACGTAGCTAATGTACAAATTACAATAAAGTCTTGAATAATAACTATAGATTTAATATTTCCATAAATTCCAACACGGGTATTGACAGAAAGGTTGGGGGCAACATGAAAGGAACACTTCATACCGTCACCCCTAAGTAAATGCTGCCCTTCTCAGTTTTAAAATGGCTGTCTTAAAAATGATCTCCCAAATTAAAAGTAGATGGCATACATGCAATATATAAATCGCCTCGCACAACTTTGTCCGATATTAACGCTCTGGATCCATCAGTTATTTTTAGACAATCCTAGTTTCTGTTCCTTAACTTGTGGTGTGGTCAGCGCCGCCTAACATTCCTGTTTTCCATTCACAGCATAAGAAGGAGACGGGAACCATCGATGCGGCCGATAAGGATATCTTGGTGGAGGCGGAGCGTCTGGATGTGAAGGCCATGGGCCCCCTCATCCTCAGCGAGCTGCTCTTCAACGAGAACATCCGCGACCAGATCAAGAAGTACAAACGCCACTTCCTGCGGGTATGTTGAATAACGCATGAATTATGTTTTTTTATTGGTCTATTTCTGGCATTGAAACATGAACAAGATTCCTCTGATAATGCTTAAAACATTTCTATATGTGTTGGGTGGCTTCTGATTTTAAATATTCCCCTCAGTTCTGCCACAACAACAAGAAGGCTCAGAAGTATCTGCTGGGAGGTTTTGAGTGCGTCGTGAAGCTGCATCAAGTTCAGCTGCTGGCTCGAGTTCCCATCATCCTCAAAGAGATGTACGACTCGGACCTGCTGGAGGAAGACGTCATATTCGCCTGGGCTGAGAAGGTGGGTGTCGATCTACATTTGATTGATTAAAAGTACATAAGGGGGGAATAAATAATGGAAGCTTATTTTGACCAGAAGTTTTATAAAAGCTTACATGTGTACCAATCTCTGCCCTCTAAATATTAACCCGTTGTGAACTTTTATACCCTTTTTTAAAAAGCAACGATGGTGATGGCCAAATATTTATTTTGTGCTTTTTCTTGGTGTTTAATTCAATAAAAAAATTACTTATTATGGGACCCCCTCTAAAATGAGATGCTACCTATCCTTCAATAAATACATTCTCAAATAGAATTACATTAGAATAGGTCAATCATTTGTTTTGACCCGTCCTGCTAAAAATAAACACATGACCAGTTTTGCACATTTAATCCTTAAAATTATATATTTGTACTTAATCCCCAAAAAACACTTACTGTTGGGGAAATGTTTTCCAAGGCCCATACAGGGTTCTTACGATCATTAAAAACCTGGAAAAGTCATGGAAATTCAAAATGCAAATTCCAGGCCCTGGAAAGTTATGGAAAACAATATTTTCCCCAACGTTTTGGAAAAGTCATGGAAATGTAACTAAAGTTGCATCAAATATAATTTATATTTTATCTAATCGCCGAAATAGTAATACTATAATGATAATACATACTGTATAGTAATGAAACGTAAAATGGCATTTAACTGACGAGGTATTTTGCTGGTGAGAGATTTTATTTGCTTTAGCGTGTAGAAGCTAGTAAGCCTACTGTTTCATTTGTTTTAGATAGGCACAACATGTTTCATATGCAGACCTTATTTTCCTGTTCCATGTTAAAATAAACCATTTTCAGTGGTACCGCTGAGAAAGAATAATTTGTTTTTGGTCATGGAAAATGAGGGAAAAGTCATTGAAAATCATTGGTGAAAAAGTGTATGAACCCTGGTTTTTCAAAATAAATGCTGGTTTTGGCCTAATGTAGCTAGTTTAATCATTTCAAAGTTAGCTATCATCTTCATATCTCTGTTAAGTTATGACGAGTTGAAGAACTAAAATTACTTTAGATCTGTTTGGT